CTGAATGTCCCCAGCATTAGCCCATAGTAGACAGTGACAGTCTTACTCATGCTCACTTTGGTTCGAGGAGCTTTAGAAAGCTCTTAAAAATGGATTCATACACATATGCATTGACAAGGCAAACACATTCTTAACCTGTAAGCTGCTTTGTTATTTAGGTCTTCTTTAAGCCGTGACCTTCAGTGATGGCATCATTTACCAATTTTTCTACTGTTCTTTCCCCCAACCCCAGCAACGATGACACAAACCCCTCAAATCTATTAATATTCTCATCTTGAGGGAACACCGGGCAGGAACGTTAACTCACACAGCAAAGCCACATGATTCGTAACATTGCTTCTGCCACCAACAAATTTTGAGATGTAATCAGCTTTTCTTTTTATTATTATTTTTCTTTGTTTGCTTGGTTTTTTTCCTCAGTTATGTCAACTGAACTACATCTAATATTCTGCATGACACATAGCATCTGGGATTGCAAAGAGAAAGGGGATAAAGAGGCACAGAAAAGGTAAGAGGAGGTACAATTCATGGTAAGTCTTGGCACCTCTTTATCTTTACATAAAACAAGATTTTTTTCTATGATATTTTGTATAAATTTCTGGCTAAGTTTTATGTCTCTACTGCCTAGCTACAGCCCCATGCAAATAGGGTTTATAACCAAATGCCTAAGCCACGCATCATGTGGAAATATATGTTCCAGGATTAAAATTGGTGTAAAATCAGGGAGGATTTTTTCCCATAAATGTCTTCATATATACATTCTGTTGAACATATTTCTGAGTTTCCTGATACAGCTGGCCAATTCATTCTCTTCACCAGAATACTCCACATTTGTATATTCTGATGTTAGACATATTTGGCCAGTGCCCTACAAAGAAGTAAAGGGTAAGAAAAAAATGTGTAGAATATTTTGGAAGTGTCTCCCATAACCCATCAGAACTCTGTATTGATATCCATTCTTGTAGAACTCCAAATTCCATATTATCTTCATTGCTCTCCTGAAGAATTACTGAGTGTAAATTATCTACTATAACTTATCCATAAAGAAGAATCAACTTAGTTAAGAAAGCTGGGATCTATTAAGATTACAGCCATCTACTCAACTGACTATTGACTCCTACAAAAATGTCTTAGATGATAAGAAACTGAGAGACAGAGAGTGTGTGAACTTCTAATAGTGCTACCTACCCTTCCGCCATTTTCCCAGGCTTTGCTGACTTGAGCCTGAATTAATGAGCCTGTTACATGATAGCTAATAAAAATGACAGGAGGAGAGATACTGTTTGGATTCTGCCACATATTTGGTTCAAGGCTGAATTGATTTTATCTCTATTTAATACATGCTTGTTTTCTGTCTCACTTGTCTTCCCCACAGCCCATGGCTCACTCTTTTTTCCATCTGGGAAACTTATCTCTGAAAATGCTACCATCAGTCAGCCAAAGACACTCTTCCCGGCAGAGTGTCTGCCAGTTTGAATAAGCACAAGTAGTCACTAGTTTGGGGATGCCTCCCACACTCTCTATAGTTGTGTGTTTTTCTAGGCTGCCCAACCACACAAGAGCAATTTGAGATATTCATATTTACCTCTGGTTTCTATTGAGGTAATGGCATTACTTTCACAGAATTGAGCACAGGGCATGGTATGAATTGCTGTGGTATGGAATGGAAGTTGCACATGTTGTTTGTCTACTTCCTTTTAACATTACTTCTTTGGATTTTTGCATTTGCACTCATTTTGGTCTGGTTTGGCTCAGTGCCTGTTCAAAAGCATGAAAATCAAATGCTTACAAGGATGCCTACCCTTTGTCCCCAAAGTCCTCCCTGATAACTGGCACTATTCCTATTTTCAAGTCTTTTATGTCGATAGCTCTCTCAAAACATTCAAGCCTCCAAGCTTAAATTTTGCACTGTGAAAAGAGGGAGACAGAGAAGAGCGAGAACGGGGGGTTGCCTGCAGCAGCCAAGCACTGGTAGAAGGGAAGGGAAGATGGGGGAGCAGGAGCCAGGCGGCCCCCTCTCCCACACAGTCTCAGCCGTGAACACACCCGCTGGCCGCAGCACAAGAGCACTGTGCGTGGGCACAGGTGGGACCCAGCCTTTCTGGCTGGATGCAGCTTAAGCGCTGAGTCTGAATGAAGACTTTCATTGCTGTTTGCTGTTTTTCTTGGCCAGTAGCCATGGCAAACATTTGCAGGTGGCTTGGCCAGATTTTGACACTTAAATATTTGAGGTTGTGATAAAAATCAGAATATTACTACAATATGGTTCTGTGCAGCCTCAAAAAAAAATAAAATAAAGTAAGAAAAAAAAAGCTATCTGCAATTTCAAATGCTCATTTAAAGACACAGTCCCGAGAGGGAACTCATGTTTTCAAATAAGTACTCATTTCCTCTTTCCTGAGAGAAATAAAAGAGTCAACCATCCCCAAATGTTACCACCTAGAGTTTCATACTGAATCCACTGGTGAGATGGATTGGGTTATTTCTTGCTGAGTCTCCAGGATCATCTGGGCAAGGTTTTGGATGGAGAAAAATGGAAATGACAAGATGTGTGGGTTTGAATCAACATGGCAAACACACCAGGGAGGAATCTGAATGAAAGAAATAGCCTCCCTCAGGCTTGGCAATGAGACAGAGTCCTAAAAGTGACAATTATCTCCTAGAACACACCAGGAGCGACACACAACACCCCAGGCTGGAGAATAAATGGGAAGATGGAGTGTGTCCAAAAGGCGTCCATACCAGAGAAACACCCGCCTCCATCCAGGCATGGTGACACGGCCTACAAATGTCACCCAAATGTACAGTCCTGGGCCAGCTGCGTAAATTATTGACAGAGTCAGCACTCATCTTAAACTTTAGTGGTAGCCCTCAAAAGACTGTTTCATAAAGAGCAGCTTTGTGCTAACAATGGCTGAATACTAAAGGCCTCCAAAAGGGTAGTTGGTGGGGGGTGGCAGGGAGAGGGAGGCAGGAGAACTCCAGGGGGGAAGGAATGCTGTAAAACCGCTAGTAAACTCTAGCACATTTTATGTTTTTTCCCCTTGAAAGAAAAATAAAATAATTATAATTAGCTGGCCTAACTGTGAATTGTCTGCTGAAAGCCAAGCCACTTGAGAGAAGTCCCTGGAGATTTAGATGCTGTCTTTAATGAATCCACCCCACTCTCTTAGCATACTATGGGTTCTTGATTTAGATAGCGGCAACATTTGCTCTCATGGTCATTTGAGAAGAAAAGAAATCTTCAGCAGAGATACTTACTAACCTAGCATTGACTCCTTTCAACAAAGCCAAGCATTCAAAGGGCCAGGTTAATATTCTGCTTCTTGAATAGAAAACCAAATGTACCCACAGCAAACTCACAAAATGGTCATTATCCATTACCCATTACTCTCATTTCTTAAGGTAGGTCTTAATGTGTCACAGCCCATCCTGGTAAGTTGAAAATGTGAGACAAGGTGCCCCTTCTGGAATATCCTAGGGAGGAATAAGCCAGTGTTCCCTGTGGGTCTGGAATTCTTATAGCACCGAAAAACAAGAGGGAAAAGACCTACTCACAAATTGTGGAGCAGTTTCTAAGTTTTTAATTATCACATCCAATATTTGACTGAAAATTCAAACTGAATGTTGATGCACATACCAAACACAGCAAGTGCCCCTTCTCAATTTAAACAGAGAATTCTGGGAGCGTAGAGCACCAGTTCTCAGCAGCCAGCAACAGAACTTTATCACAGCTCTTTGGCTTAAAGTTATTACCTTTTCTTCCTAAGAATCCATGTGCTCTTAAATCTTTGATTTCATCTTTACTCTTGTGAAGTTGGAAAGAACAGACACCATCCTCATTCTGGGGATAAGGAAGCTGCGCCAGAGATACTGCGTTTCTGAGAAGCTCCCTGGAAATGTCCCCGCTATGGATCCTCAGACCACACTTCGCATAGCAAGGGGCTAGAGCTAATACAGGATACCCAGAAGGGAGAGCTCTTTCCATCACATGACATGGAGTGTCTGGGGTTCAATGACAGGATCTTTCCACCAATTTTTCCTCAACACCTCAGTATTGTCTATTTGCATAGATGAGAGAGAGGGGCCTGCTTTCTTTGTTTTGTCGACTCCGGGAATCAGCATAGACCAACGTAGAGGAAGGAGAGGGCTAATAAGGAGGCAGTAACAAGAAGGAGGAGCAGGGAAGAATGAGCAAAGGGCAGGACGACTAAGGAAATACGGTAGTCCCCCTTATCCGTGGTTTTGCTTTCTGCAGTTTCAGTTAATCATGGTCCAAAAATATTAAAAGGAAAATTCCAGAAATAAACAATTCACAAGTTTTAAACTGCTCACCATTCTGAGTAGCATGATGAAACTTCATGCCATCCCAAGTCATGCCCCCCAGGATGTGAATCATCTCCCTGTCCACCATGTCCAGGCTGTGGACACGCCCCACCCAGTAGTCACTTAATAGCTATCTCAGTTATCAGACGGAAAACACATATTATACACAGGGTTTGGTACTATCTGCACTTTCAGGTATCCACTGGGCAGCTTGGAATTTATCTCTCACGGACAAGGAGGGATTGCTGCACACAGAAGATGAGGTGATGAGTGTGGCAGCTCCCAGGAAGGGAAGGGCACACTCTGTTGGAGACAAGGCTGAGCTGGTAGAACTTCCCTCCACCATGTTTGTTCTGTGCACTATACTCTGGTCTCCATAACAACCGTGGGTTTTCCCACAGTCATCTTAAAGTTCACAAATCTTGTCTGAAGAAATGATGACACAGAATGACTTGCTCCCCACCCCACCCCTACCACCCAAAGTCCAGGATCAAAACAGCTTCTACCAAGCGGAGACTCTTCCCTTCTCCCATCAAAAGCATCACTTTGTGCTCTAGGCAATATCATGCCGGCCAGAAAAACCAACCAATCTGAGCATCAGAAACCAGGAGAAAGTCCAGAACATTTCCTGAGCTCCAGCCAGGACCCAGGGACAGCCGAGAAGGGCTCCTTACCCAATCTGGCGGTTGGTGGAAGGTGCCTGGGTGATGACGGAGCTGGACTGGGGTGACGGCATGGCTTGCTGAATCACAACGCTGGTGTCGTGGTTGGGCAGCCGAGCACTGCTAAGCTGGTGAGTTCCGGGCCCTGTCATGGCCCCACCAACTGCATTATGCATTGAGATATTCTGCCAAGAGAAGACACAGTGGAAAGGTCAGGAGGAGTCAATGTTTTTATTCTACTCTCAATCTCTCAAAGGCCAAAACTGGGAATCTAGTCATGTCAACTATATAGAGAGTTATGGCTTCCGGCAAGCCGTAGGCCCATTCATCTTGTTATAACATACAGCTACGAGGAGATGAAAAATAACTACTCACCCTTAGAGTAAAGCACGTGAGAAAATGCCTTAAAGTTTCCTTATCACTGTCCTGCCATCCTGATGTGAGCTTTGCATCAAAGACTTTTAGTGCGTGCCTTCTCTGACTGGGAGGATGAATATCAGATTTGAAAATGATTTTTGTGATAAGTGCATAATACTGTGATTTAGTGTATAGTCATTCTGCATCCTGCTTTGCATGACAAGCACACTGGTTTTTTCCTTTCATTTTTAGTCCTATAAGAGTGCCCAACCATATATATATATATATTTTTTTTTTTTAAAGAAAACGACTACCTTTCCAAATCATAATCTGAGGACTCAGGACACAAGCTCAGTAACCTGTGGAATGAGGTTGGATGACTGGAATACATGACAAGACATCTGAGATCCAATGATTAGAGCAAGAGTTACCACTTTCTGTTGTATTTTCATAAAATCCATCTCTCACAATGCATGGAGTAATGGAAACACAGAACAATAATCGAGCATCTAGTTACTTATTCCCTGTCTTTTCCTCTGGAACATAGGATGTTTGTATTCACAGCTCTATCCCATGGTGCTTGGACCACAGTAGGCATTCAGTAGATGTGTGTATGTGTGTGTGTGTGTGTGTGTGTGTGTGGTATATTATATATTTATTTATTTATTATTTATTTATTTTTTTTTTTTTTTGAGGCGGAGTTTCACTTTATTGCCAGGCTGGAGTGCTAATGGCACGATCTCGCTCACCGCAACCTCCGCCTCCCAGGTTCAAGCAATTCTCCTGCCTCAGCCTCCCTAGAGCTGGGATATATAGGCATGTGGCACCAGGCCCAGCTATTTTTTGTATTTTAGTAGAGACGGGGTTTCTCCATGTTGGGTCAGGCTGGTCTCGAACTCCCGACCTCAGGTGATCCACCGCCTCGGCCTCCAAAGTGCTGGGATTACAGGCGTGAGCACTTGCATCCCGGCCAGATGTATATTAACAGCATGGATAAACCAGTGAAAGAACATGAGATGCCTGAGTCACTGACAGGACCTAATATCATGTATTCATTTCTGATGCCTTCAAATGAAGGCTTATTTGTTTAAAATTCAAAAGTAAGTAAAATATGTGAGAGAGCTCTTCATGGAAAAGAAAGTTACTCAGACAACCAGAGAAAATTCACACTGAGCAGAGAAGGCTGATCAACACATTGGGACCAAAAGGTCAGAAAGAAATTTAGAAACCAGTAAAGAAAGAGAAAGTGGCATAGTGCTTATGCCTGTAATGCCAGCACTTTGGGAGGCTGAGGCAGGAGGATCACTTGAGCCCAGGAGTTTGAGGCTGCAGTAAGCCAGGATTACACCTCTACACTCCACATTACAGCCTGAGGGACAGAGTGAGACTCTGTCTCGAAAAAAGAAAAAAAGAAAGAAAGAAAGAAAGAAAAGAAAGAGAAAGAGAAAGTTCTTGGCCAAAAAGTAATAGGTAAGGGCAATAAGTAAATCTCTACAAGTGGCAAGGTAGAGCTCTTCAGTCTAGAAGGGTGGGGAAATTTAAGAGGTCTATTAGACAATAGGTTGAGGATGGGAGGGGAAAAATGGAGTGTCACTAGCAATTTACTAAAGAAAAAAAAATATATATCTGTTTGCGCTTCGGTGTTAGCAAAGAAAAAATAAATGTTACCCAAGAGAACTAGAAGTGGTCCTTTGAAGTTCTTCTGCAAAGAAAAGGATTTCCTGCACTACGTGTTAAATGATGGTGATAACATATACGGTACTTGGGGTGGCTGTGTCCATCACATTGCACCTTTCCCAGGTTTCTGATTTCTAAATCCTGACCACACAATTTGTCAGGAATCCAGATGGAAACTGGGCACCTGGCTTAGACTGTGAGCCTACTGTGTTGTCGTGGGACCCCAAAGGCAGAAACAGGCTTATATATACTCACAGTCCAAAGGCTTCTCTTACACACTGGAAAATTTTTCTGACGTGGGAAAATACTGTGATTGGGTAAAGTAAGATGAAAGGAAATGGCGATCTGCATTGGTGGCAGTGCAGGAACACACTTTTTATAGGATCTAGAGATTTAGAGAATTGGACTAAAAATGATAATGAAAATAAAGAAAATTGTGTTATTTCTTTTGAAAGTGAACCTTGACAAACTTATTTCCCTGGGTCTTAATGAGGTCAGAAACTATAGGTATTATTTTGTCCATTGTTTAAGTTCAAAGACACTTAAAATTTTTCATCTAGCTCACAGTCACCTACTCTATCAATAATAGATCCAAGGCACAGAACCATTTTTGACTCTCCTTTTAGAATTATTGATGCTGTACAATTTAATTTTTAAGATCACAATCTTTAAATTCACAAAGAAAATTATAAAACATATGGACTCTCCTTGAATTATCCTGGATGCCTCTTTTCCATCACGCTCTTAGGCAGTTTCCAAGTCCTACAAATTTAGCTAAGTGTCCCTCATCTCTTCCAATCTTTCCATCCATCCTTCCACCAACCTATAACCAACTGCCATCATCTTCTATCCTTGTCTAGACAATGGTCTCCTTCATGCGCTCTGGCTTCTCTTCTTCCTTTTTCCCCTACTACAGCCACTGTGATCTTTTCAAAATGCAAAAGTCATCACATCACACATGGCGTATGTGAGGTTCGCCTCCCACTCATTCCCCAGAACATACACCCTAAGCCATCGGTTTGGAAGTCACTGGCAGCACTCCTTGTATGCCTCCAAAGCCCGTGTAGGACTCTTTCTACCTCCCAGCTCAGCTCACACCACCTCTACTCTTGCTCCCTGTGATTCATTCCACATTCTAATTTCCTACCCTCACACTAACCATACTGCGCTCCAGCATCGGGCCTTGTATGCTGCTTTCTAACGCCAGTGCCCTTGCCCTGCCTGTACCTTCAGACCTCAGAATCAATCATCATGTAGGCAAGCCTTTCCTGCCCACACCCACCCAAGTGATGGGCACCATCTCCTTTTCCTTTACAGTACGATGGCTTACAATTGTTCTTGATTGTTTGATTAATAGCTGTTTCTCCCCTAGACTGTAAGCCCAATGAGAGAAGAAACTAAATCTGATTTTACTCCCCATTATGTCTCCATTGCCTAGCTTTGTGCCTGACATATCAGAGTGTTCAATAACTATTGAGTGAATGGGTGAACTATAACATTCCTAGAATATTCCATATGATGAAACATTACCTGTTTGTTCCCTGGTCCATTTTCGAGAGTGCTAATGTCCTGTCTGTTCACCTTGCAATATGCAAGTATGCAATAATGCAGTTTTAGATATTAAGGTATTGTTAAATTATGGTTCAGTTGTGGGCTGAGGAAATAGAGAGGATCAGGATTAAGAAGAAAGCCACAAGCCTTATATATATAAAAAAAAGTAAAACCTTTTTAAAAATATTAAAGGGGCCATTGAAGGAAGATGCTGAGAGTTGAGCTTCCAATCTTTGAGCACTTTGGCTCAAATGAAGGACACAACCACTATTCCTTACATCCACCATGGAAAAAGACAAAGAAAACTGGCTTATGCTGCAGCACAAAGAATAGGTTTAATTTCTTCAGAGTAAAGCATGTTAAATAAGAGAAAGAAGTAATCCCCTCTCCCCAGAAAAGCTTAAGAATCTTCTCTGAGAATCACCAAAAGGAATACTAATCACTATCTAGGAATATGTCCAACATTCTCCTTCATCAACACTTTAAAGGCATCTCTTCATCTCTGTGATCTCTACAGAAATGGAAAAGGCTCCTGAAAGACATATTCTAGCTCTTCTGTAATCTCTTCTTTACCCAACGCATAAAATCTGCAAATTCTCCAGTCTTCTCCCAGATCCAGAGAGTAATTTCAACACATTTTGGAAAAATAAACAACCCAGCAAAAGCATTATCATTTCACACTAAGAGAAGGCAATTTTTTTTCTTTAAGCATTACATAGTAACTCAAACACGAAATTACTTCCTGAGTTCACATTGTCCCAATTATGGGTTCAAAACCTGTCTTCATCGATTAAAAAAAAAAATTGCATTTTACCTCCAGATAAATTAAATCTCCAATTTCAAAACCACAAAGAGTAACTCTATCTTGCTGAGTTATTTCTGATAGTACAGGTGGGTAGATGTGAAGCTGGTGAAACAATATCACCAAACTAGTGGATGGATGTCAGTATGCAGGGAAGGACCAGAGGTGTTCCTCGAAGCTGCCCTTGGCCTTTTCTTGTTCAACATTTTTTATCAACAGTTTGGATGAAGAGGTAAAAATCATGCTTGTCAAATCTGCAGTTGACACAAAGTTGGGAGGCATAGCTAATGTTCTGGATAGGATAATCAGGTTTTACTTGAGCCAACTGTGTGATCTGGCCTCCAAAAATGCTAACATAAATCTAGGTTGCTTTATGAGAAGTGAAACATCCAGATCTAGAGAAGTAATTATTCCACTGTAGAGTACATTGGATTGACCACATTTGGCCACCACATTTTAAGGGGAAAATTGACAAATTAGTGTGAATGAAGGCATCCAAAATGTATCACAGGAAGAGCAGTAGAAGAATCAGAGAATATTTAGTCTGAAGAGGAGACTTAAAGGGTCATGCTAACTGCTTTAAAATATTTGCAAGATTAGACATAGTCTGTGTTGCTCCAGATGGCATAATTTCATTTCTTTTATTGTTTTTTTTTTTGTTTGTTTTTTGTTTGTTTTTTTTGATGGAGTCTCCCTTTGTCACCCAGGCTGGAATGCAATGACGCGGTCTCAGCTCACTGCAATCTCTGTCTCCTGGGTTCAAGCGATTCTTCTGCCTCGGCCTCCTGACTAGCTGGG